TTCTTATTCTCCAACATTTTCCTGAAAATTCCATTTCCCCTCCGTTGCAATGGCTACCCTTTAGCCGTCTCGTCATTTCTCATCACTTCATTCAATCAGCGAGTGTCTCCCCCACTGGCACTTCACCCTTCATGCTACCCCAACCCCAACTCTCTCCCTCCTCTGGTTATAAACATCTACTCTCACATGCACACATCAACACACACACACCAATCCTTCAACTCTGCAAGGCTTAACACTCTGGTGTGACCTCAGAGGGGAGCCAACATATAAGATGAATTCTCTTTCTCAGCCCTTATGTAATATAAATCTTACACAACCAATTTTCAATCATCGTTTTTTTTCTTTTTGTACCACTTTGGACAATTCAGATGCAGCCTTAATGAGTGGGTATACCGTCTGTGTGGCAATGCAACAATGAGCTGCCATTTTCCTTCTAAAAACCACATGGAGCAGAAGGCTATAAAGTGCACGCTCCATGTCTTCTTTATTATGCATGATACATGGATGCAAATTCCTTTTTTCCCAGCTCAAGACCAGGGTGATAGGAACAAGATTTATAGAGGTATAAATCATCCTGTCATCCCACGCTATATGCATTCAATAAACGTATATTGTATATTTTCACACATGGGTTTGCTAAAAAAAACACAGATAAGAAGTTTAGTTATTGCTGCAGTGACTGTCTAATTCTTCCCATCTATAAATCAACAGGCGTCTGACATCAAACTACCCTCTGCAGTGCACTGCCCTCAAGTATTTTGGCTTTCTTCTTCCAGATGATTGGTGCCTCAAGAAGCTGACATAAAGCGAGCTGTGTGGTTACTGAAGTAAATCAGGAGTGATAGTCTGATCAAACAGCCTATCAAATAGACAGAGAGGGCAATATATAACCAATAATAATGGTGCAAAGAAGGTCAAAGTTCACCTAGCTGAGCCTGTTTATACAGGTTTGCATGTATAACAAAAGAGAAATCTCTTTTTTCTCAATGGAGCCAAAAATGACACCATAATCTTTGAAAAATAACTGATTTACAGCTGTAATACAGTCTGCTTCCTTATCTCTGTTTACAGGCTTTACATAAAGATGCATAATCTGTATTCAGGAGACTACGTTGAGAGTGTCCTAGTTTCTATTTGCGCATTTGTTTTACAAGCATTGACCAATCACATGTCAACAGGTCTTTGATTTGTTCTAGTAAATCCGCTTCTGTGTACAAAAGAGGCAGGTGGAAGACATACATTGTTGTAAGGATGCCACAGCTTTCACTGGTGGTGTATTTGTCTTTTGAAAATGCAACTATCAATCCCTCTGAGATTAAAGATTTTAACCAGGGTGATAAATCTGCTTGAGATTGCAAAAGCCAGTCAAAGCACAGAGTTTTGTTTGAGTTTTTATTACAATTTGCCACAATGGGTTTGTTATTTAAGCAAACGTACCATCTGTATGAGGACAAGAAATAGGTGCCAGATGAATGGACTCCACAACTGAGAGTGAAATAGATCAAGAAATGATCCACAGGTGATGTTCATGTTGCAGAGTCAAACTCACTCCAAGCGTGATTTTATTCCAGTTTAGTTTTTGGCTTTCTTCTTTTAAACCCTGTGTATGCCTGTAAATCACTGAACTAATTGAGATTCACAGTCTTGGAATGTTGACTAAGCTATTTGGGCATTAATGAGATCAGCCTACTGCCAGGAAGCTTAATATCATGGTTAAATACTGCATATTATTCATGTGTAATTCCATATCATTAATGACAAAAATCTGCTACAAGTCATGTCTGTTTAGAAGCTTTATTATAAACACCTTTGTTTAGCTTACATAAATCATTTTGATAGGGATACTTCAAAATGAATGAAGTGTTTACACGCTTTGGATTTTCATTTAAAGACCAAGGACATGTTTTGAAAGGGCTTTTGTCCAAGACAGTTTCATCTTTGTTAAAAGAGCTTTTCGGCATTACCCAACTACTTCAGCAAAGCGGCCTTTAAAGACATATTGTGTATGAGTGAGTTGTGTACAAACTCAAAAGGAAATGATGACCCTGACCTGCCGTCATGTCTTAATGTTGCATTGCAAACACAGATAGGTCGTTTAAAGTCACGCAAAAATACAGGTCATCTTCCTTGAACCTAACAGACACACTGGGTTAAGGGGGGCACTATTTTCTACCACAGATTAATCGTTTTCCTGATGGTTGACTTAGGTGACTGCAGTCAGTGTGATCTCTTAGAAAGGGTCAAAACATGACCTAGTAAAGACACATGATGTTGGTCGGATAAGGAGGTCAGGGCGGGTCAAAGATCAATGAAATGCTTTGCTGAGCGTGACAAAATCTGGATGGCCTCTTTTGTTGAACAGCCAATAAGCTTGTTTGAAGACGAAAAAAGAGAGACAGGGTGCTTGTTTTTCCATTGAAAAATAACAGCGTAATGCATTTCAGTGCATACAAGTAACAAGGTCACCTGTCTTTGTGCATGACGCCAAACAAAGAGTTTAAAGTCACCTCACCAGTATATACCTTTACTTGGCATCTTTCATAACAAACTGTGTACCAGATTTGAAATGATGTAGGGAAATACTGAATAAATATGAGTTACAGAGTGATTTTTAAGATCAAGAGATAGAAATGAAAGGGTACATACTTTTGAGCCTGTTTGATTTTATGGCTCAAAGATGTTTGTAGTCGCACAAATGAATGTTAACAAAAGGACAGAACGAGAACCAAAAGTTCCCGAACTAAATCTGAAGTCGGCGAGGAAAAAATAAATCAATCTAAAACTAATTAACCATCCTTTCATGACTTTTTTAAAGACACATGGCAACTCATTAGACATTAATCAAATTGAACACTGAGCAATGTTTGAGGTCATGTTGCCTCAGCTGTCCTTTGTAAGCCGGCGACAGGTGAGAAAATGCAGCCAATTACACTTACAGAGTTTTGAATTCAGTCCAAGTTGCTATAAGCAGCTAATGGGGTACGTCTCATTGGAAGAGAGGGTAATAGGGACGCGAGGATTGAATATATTGAGCACAAGGTAAACTGCCACATTAAATCATAAAGCATGCGACTGCAATACTAAAACGGATGGTTTGTGAGCTCGATTCCGGACTAGAGATGAATTATGGTAAACAAGAGATAACAAATTATTCAATGATGCACGACACGATCGCTGGAGATGCCCCTGACCCCCGAGTTGGCATTGACAAGCATTTAAGATTAGATGAACCAAAGTAATAAAGAAAGAGGCACAGTGATCTTACAATTGCAGGCAGACAGATTACATCACTACAGCTGCATCCTCGCCTCCTGACCTGATTGTTATGCTTTGATCTTGAGGGGTGATCGCTTCGTTGTTATGTATATTTATATTTATATACATTTTAAATGATCTTAAAATGCTGCTATGTTTGGTTGGACAGCATGTCTTCATATGCTGTGTTATTTTTGAGTGAGGACATTGCGTCACTTGTGCGTAGCTTATCTTTCAGTTTGAGCTTGTTGTGCATTTTATATCAAATCTGAGGCATAGAAAGTATTTCAAGTGTTTATTAGAGCTTTTAAAAATGTGACTGAATTTTCAGGAAATGGCACCTATGTTGAAGGCAAAATATTCAGCAGCCTTGAAGACACTTCATTTAGAAGCTTAATTCAAATTCCTTGAGCTCCCAAGGTCACAGAGGAGTGGGCCTGCGTTTTAATCCACACTGATGCATGATGTACTTTTACCAGCATCATGCATCAGTGTGTTGATGTATCCAAGCATGTGCATGGGGGACAGGTGGTGATTTATCTGAGCTTTTCAATAAACGCTTTGAGCAGAAAATGTGGTAATTTGTAACGGTAACATAAGCAGAGGAACATGGAGTCGTGCGTATGACTTTTGCCAACAGAGCTCTTGTCAATTCAGAAAGAATTTGCAGACCTAAGAAGACCAAACTGCACTGAATGTCCTTTCCTTCCCATTGATAGTTGTGGTCAGAGGTTTTCAGCCACCAAGAACATCTGTTACTGGTTTTCTTGTAATTCTGAAGGTCAGTTCAAAGTCTGAGTAACCCGCCTTTGGTTGCTGAATGACCCTCTTAAGTACCTGCGATTGGTTTAGAATCACTTATTTTCCAAGTCACTGAATAGACCGAGGGACTTGTCATGACCAAGCTGTATAAATGTTTTTTTTTTCTATGTAAAGTCTATTAAAAGTTGTGAACAGAAATGCTTGGTCGGTAAGAAATTCAAGCTTCTTAATTGTTTGTCACATAAGACGACAAGATCCAGTGAAGACAACATAAAGCAATGAGCTGACGACAGCAGAGCTACCAAGGTTGTGTATGGGTGTTAGGATAAAGTTCTCAAGTTGAATAAGGAGAGGTAACAACATCTTTAATTGCAACACATTAACACCAACAATGGACCAAGCCCTCTGTTTATATTCGCCTTGGGAAGATATGAGAAACACTAATAATCTGAGCAAACATAGAGTTGAAGTAGTTTGAGTGATTTAACTTGAGTCTAAGTTGGAACGGTCTTCGTCCAGTATCTTTAAATCTCATGTCTGTATACAACAATGACGTGGCCTCAGTAATATGATGACCGCCATACTGGTAGACAGTGATCTGCCTGCCTTTTGGTCATGCAAGCCAAGTACATGATTGTGCCGATTTTTGCAAAACCATTGGTGTGGTGTGTATACAGGTATTCGGTCTATACTCATTTTTTTTAGGACTTCATCGCATGTACACATTTTTTTTTATCTTCTCATACCCCCCTCTACCCTGTCTCTAATTGGCTGGTACTCTTTGTTGCCTCCACTAGTCGGTTAGGTAAAGGTACGAGGGCAAGTTGATCAGAGATAGAGTAGGGTTGACCCCATTGCGTCCACCTCTGCTCCAACCCAAATGCACCAATGATGTCGTCAGAGCTCTAAAAATAAAAAATAAAATACAACATGGTTTTCTATACAACAGATCAGTTCTCTAGTAGTTCACACTTGCCTCAGCCTGTCGTCTATGGAGCTTTAACTATGTCAGATTAAAAAGCAATCTTATATAGTTATATATCAAATTTCTCTTCAGGGATAAATAAAGTTCCTCCTATATTGGTTCTTTTTTGTCGTTGTTGTTGAGTTGAGGATTGAGATGTTACCTACTGCAGTGGATAAAGAGTTCAGCCAGGGTGATGACGATGAGCAGATGTAATTGCTGACCAGTTTGCTGAAAGCACATCTCCAGAGGTGTCAAAGTCATTTGAGCAGGTTGGTCTTGCTTTCTTGGAAACGTAAGCACTGGCTCTGGTTTGTGTGAAGTCCTGAACAGTGATGTTGTTAAGCTCTACTTGTTGTTTACACACCTCAAAGCTTCCTGACGTCACTTTCTGAAAGCTTGAAAGGTGTTGGAGATGCAACTTGTCATGCATTAACTATTGCAGGGGCGGATTTCCTTTGTTCATTGCTAATGAACAATACTTCAATGCTATAACCTTTGCTGTTTTTTCCTCCAATGGTCACCTTGTCACTCCTTTATTGATTTTTTTTTTTTTTTAACCATAGGCTGCTGCCTCATCACAGTCAATGTCCAAGTCCATGTCACGGAGGGTTCAGGTGAAGGGTTTGTTGCTTTAAAGGATATTACTGAGGGTTCTGGTACAGTTGCTTCTGTTTGTTCAATCCAATTCACCAAAGACTCAGTGAATCCATTGATGTCAGTCTTGACGTAAATGCTGGTCTCCAGTAACGCTCCCCAAGCTGCGTCATGAATTTCAAACTGTAGGGCAGTCAGCCTGACTACATCCTGTTTTGAACAACTCAACAACAACAGAAGGCATCATTAATAAATATATTGGGTGACATTTAAATAATGATTGGTTAAAGTGTGGATAATAGTGTAAATGAGCGAATGAGCAGACATGTTAATCAACCACCAAGATAAATCATGCAGGGAAGAGCTGGGAAGGTGGGCAGAGAGAAAGAAAGAGAGAGAGAGAGAGAGAGAGAGAGAGAGAGAGAGAGAAGCCCTTCATCTGACACATAAGGAGAGAAACCATCAGAGTCCACGTCTGACATGTAATTATCCTGTAACAAAGGACTTACAGGAGGTCTAAATCTCATCCCAAGCACACACACAACACTCACTCTGCAGCATTCTCTTTACCACGCAAGATTTGTGTCTTGTACAAAGCATATAAACGGGCATGTGCATGTGTGTAAATTACACCAGGTATGGGTGTCGAGATAGGTAATGTGTCATTGCATGTGGGTGGAACACAAAGGAGCATATAACACAGTGAGGTGTGAATCCTGTTCCTATGATGAGAGGCGACATGCTTTCAGATTCTGAATGCCGTCCATTAAAAACTGTGCCCATCTCTCTGCCTAATGATCTTCTGCTATGTGATGTGCTGTGGTTAACTTCTGCAGCTGGAATCTCAACACGCACATTCCTCAATATTATTTGCTCATTGTCTTTAGCAGCTGTACTTTCACTGATGCATTAGAGAGAGCAACACATCTAACAGACATTTTAATGCATTAGCTGTGTAAGAAAAACTCCTGCAAAGATACTTTGTGTCACGGCGGTTATCTAAATGCCTGAGCTGTAATTGTTTCTCTGGCTCCCTCTCGTCAATGAACGAAACGGCATTAATGCTGCAGATCTATTTAAAGGCTAAGTAGAGTGCTATCACTCATTATCTTTCTCTCCTGCTGCAGGGTAATGTTCTTCAGTCGATATGTTTCAAGCTCCCTGAAGACAGCATAGTCGTGACACTTCCCAGAGGGAGGCTGATGGAGGGTTAAGGGTCTAGCACTTACTCACATATCTAACTTGAAGTTTTTTGGTGCAAGGCACCGTCTTGTCCAGTGGCTGATCCAATCACCTTACCAAATATGGACGCTTATTTAGACAAGTGATGAGCCCCGGGCTCTAGTTCTGATTTGATAGAGCAAAGTGAGCCAAAATAAGCCTCTGTGAGTTTATCCTGAACAGGTGTCCATTCCAAAGTGATCCTCTTGGGATGGTGGGTGCCTAAAATGAGGAGCCAATCAGTTTCATGATGTTGGAGTTAGGACTAGGTGATCATATGATCGTGATAAATTTCAGTTCGATCACGGTGATCAGCTGTGAGCATATTTACCCAATCAAACATGGCCGAAATGTGCATGACAACAGCCAATCAGAGTCAAGCTTTACCTGCTCACCTCTTTAAGTTGGCGGAGAAGTAAACAGGAGAATTTAACAGAATGACCGAACATGGAGCTAAACAAGGAGCTGAGGGCAGCAAAATAGATGTCAGCCATGACATTGAGTTATCTTCTGAAGATGCCATTGTTGAGAAGAAAAGTTACTCAACGTCGGTTGTGTGGCGGTGGTTCGGATATCTCCTCAGGACTATATACTAGCTCACTGTATTATTTCATATTTATTTACATTTGTTGTACTGTTAATGTTTTTTCTGTTTTTCAAAGTTTATCTTATTCAATTTGCTTTGTTATTTACTTTGTATGTTAATAAAATGTTGAACTGATCTCTAGTTTCTTTAGTTTTTAGAACAGATGCTTTAAAACTGGCAGTTTTAAAAAAAATCGTGATAAAAATCGAGATCAGACGATATGACAAAATATATTGTGATCTTTTTTTTGCCAAATCACCCAGTTGTAGTTGGAGTGATAGTACAAAAAGGACTTCCACCTGAGAGCCAATTGGGAATTTTGTTGCTCAGTAATCTTACAAGTGACTTTTTTGAATACAGGCAGCAATCAAAGCACATCAATAATCAAATCCTCTTAAATGTTCATTATTTCCTTGATAGTAAGTGAAGTATCTTGATTATGTGGAAAGTGAAATTCACACTTAAATAAAGTAGAAAATAATTTGATGATACAAATTTTATTATGTGAAATGACCTGTCTTTCTTCTCTGTGTAACAACAAAGGTCACCCTGTTTATGGCTGTCAGGTAATGTATTATACAACACCTCACACTCAAGAGCTGACTTGGCAAACCTGAACTTGTGTTCTTCTATAACACTGAAAATATAGCTCTGCATTTGCATTTTTATCCCCTTGACACAGACTCTTTTTGCCTTGTTGGGCATGTTTAAGTTATGCTATTGACAGCCAGTGTCAAGAACACAAGGACGTCTTTTAATACCATGCTGCCTCTTCCTCTTTATCCGTGCAAATCTGACATGCTGTGAAAACCTGGCCAAAAATATTCGTCAACCTGTCTTCAAAAATGATATTTAAGCATTTCTACTCCCTATCAAAGTATAAGATATTGATTTTATGCTAATGTAGAGCCAGGTAAAGAAATTCAGTTTGGAAAGTGCTTTTGTAAAACATAGATCTTAAGTTAAAATTGAGCAGTTTTCTCAACATGATCCTAGTGAGTCAAGAGGCATCAGTATTCCTATTCACTGGTATTTATCACCATCTAGTGGTCAAGTAGACAAAGTGCAGCCAATGTTGGACAGCCTACAACTAAGGGGTTAAAAGCAGGTTACAAATTAAACTACTGAAAAATCAAGCAGGCGAAATATGACAAGTCGAAATTGGTTGATTATAAAAAATGAAGCTTGAAAAATAGTATCAGACAAAAACATCAAAGACTCAAAGCATGAACTTTTTTCAGAATTTTATTCTTTAAATTATTTTATAAAATCTCATTTACGTTTCAATATATATATATATGTATATATATATATTTTCACCGATTAACAATTTTGGCTATTTTCCCTTTCCACCCCCATGTATGTCCACATATTGATCATAAGGTCCATACCCCTTTACATAGACATTGTGCAGTGATCCTCAGTGCCAAGGTGGAGGGAAGGAGACAGTGGTTGAGGGTACATGTCGGGGTGAGGGGGAAGAGGTTTGGGTCTGGGCTTTGTAGAGCATGCCAGAGAGGAGTCAGGGAAACAGGGAATGAACAGGGGGGCTGCCTAACTACACAACCACTGTTAACATCAGTAAGATAACCATACAAAGAGGTAAAGGGAGTGTTGACTTCCACAATGACTTGAGTGTGTCTGATGTGGGTAAACCAATCATGTTCAAATGGCTCAATGTATTCCATGACACAAAATAAATATTAAAAGAAACAACGTTGATTTTTCTCCAGCATCAGCGCTTGATACTCACTGATGGATGTAAAGTAAGCTTCATATCAGATGTTCAGCAATGACAGGTCAGCTGTTCACCAAAAGATTGAAACATTGTCCACAAGCTTAGCAGCAGCCCTGAAGACTGTATAGCCCTTTTGTAGTGACCCACACAATCTATCAGTCCACTGATCAGAGTCAAATCCACATCCCATGGTGTGCAAGTAGGTATCTATGTTGATGATTCCCTTTCAGAGCTTTTTTTCAAACGGCCCACATCTATAAACACGAGGCTAAACTTCAGCAAAACCAGTTTTATCTTACATTGACTGTACATCAGGGCAAGCAATAAGATTCAGTTTTCTACTCCAATAAGATATTTGTTCTTCATTTGGCAAATATGATCACTCTAGCAACATGGCTCAATACTTCTGAAATTCATCTTTGTCGCTGGTATGATTCGTGATGAACAGATTCGAGAGCCTCAAATCTTTCTATGATAAACATTTGAACTAAGAAGGCTTCATCGGAAGAAAACTAACGATTGCACACCCTTCGAAAGGTCACTCGAGTCTTCAGCGATACCCAAGTCAGTCAGCGATGACTCCAAAGAGTCTCTCAAAGCTACATCCCCAGCGATACCAAACATCCCTTCTTTAAATTATTCAATGATAGAAGATGTGAAACAAAAAATTCAGTTTTTTAAGGGAAGGAATGAACTGAAGTGTGAGATCAGACATCACTCCTTGGAAAACAACCACCCCTGATACTAGATACTGTCTTTTGGCATAAAAAAAGAAAAAATGATAGAAAATAGAAAAGCGCAGGACTTTCAGTCAAAACATAGTTACTATGAAGACATAACCACTGAGCACATAGTGTATATGTTGGTCTTAAAAGTGTGATTTGCTGCATAATTCAGTTCATATGCATGTTAGGATATGCTTGTTTATTTTTTAATAACTCTGAATGCCTTCCTAAGCTGTCATGAAGAAATTAATGTACAAATGTAAAAAAAATAAAACATGCAAACCTACAGGCTTGTTAAACAAAGAACAACTTAAGCAACACCACTTTGAACTTACACACTTCACGATAAGACAGCTGAATTAGCTTAAGGCATGTTATTCTTAACGGTTCGTCAAATTAACCCAGAGTCTAACTCCTCTTTAAGAAATGTGATTTAAAGTTAGCCCTTGGTGTCTTTCAACTGCAATTTACTGCATTAATTATCCTTTCCATAGAGGACAATAGTCTAATCACTGAAGCTCATGGAAAATTTTATCACACGCCTTATGCATGTTAACAGAGTTTATTTACACACAGCGATTTAACCCTTTAGATACACCACAAATCACCGACTGGAAGCGAATTTACTGAACTTGCACAGTCAGTGGTTGATGCTTGCCCGTGAAAAGTCATGCAGGCGTCATGCAGCAAATCAAGTGATTTTTTTTATGATACTAAAAACACAAGGTGACGTGTCACACCAAACAGCTGCAGCAGTCACAACCAAAATTACTGATACAAACCCAGCGATAACTGAAGCAAGGGCCAGTGTATGAGAGTGAACAGAGATTCATGCTGTTGATGTGTCAAAGCAGGTAGCTATCGCAAAATATAAAAAAACCTCAGATGTTGTTACACAGTCTCTGAGGGCATTTATGAACCCACAGTCGGAAGCAGGGCTGTCAAATGATTGTAAGGCTGGTTCCTTTATGTTTGCCATAGATTAAAGCCAGGGTTCTCAAATCCAGTCCTCGAGCCCCCCTGTCCTGCATGTATTGGATGTTTTCCTGCTCCAACACACCTGATTCAAATGATTAGCTCGTTATCAAGCTCTGGAATGGCTTAATAACGGGCTGATCATTTGAATCAGGTGTGTTGGAGCAGGGAAACATCCAAAACATGCAGGACAGTGGCCCTCGAGGACTGGACTTGAGAACCACTGGATTAAAGTAAAAATTAACAACAGCAATACCTGACCTTCAACATCTTTCTGAGCTCAACAAAGATTGCTGCTAGGTCTTGATATTGAATTATGTTAACTCTAAAAGTGTTCCTCTTTTTCTGTCCAGACCGTGTATTTCAACAACGATGACAAAACTTGTGCTATTTTTTGAGATAACAACGCACAGATTATGTCAGGGAATAAATAAACTCTGCTAACTCTGCTTTCAAAGTGATTAAATCATACAAAAAAAGATGAATTCTTCCCTAATTTGCGAATCAAGACACAGAGTAAACTATTTCCAGGTCCTCGGGCTACTTTGAAACCACACTGTCAAAACCAAGTGTTCTGACTAAAGCCATTTGAGGTAGACAGAAACCACGTTAGAGTTTATACTTGCACGCTGTCTAGAACCGATCAATAGCCTCACACGCTGTCAAAGAGCAGGATTCACTCAAGGTGTGTGATCAGCATGCAACTTCTTAAGACTCCACCAGAGCCTGACATGGGATCACATGATCTGGCGAGGGTGTACCACAACATCATGAACAATGGCGCCTTAAGGAGTGCAATGACGAGGGGTGGCTGGGAGGGCGAGTTGAACCGACACAACGCAAACAGGCTTTTTTGTTTTGTTTTGTTTTTTTTAAACCAGAAAGAAGTCAACGGCAAAAATCTTCAAAGTCTCCAGTCAACAGCAGCATCTCAACGTCAGCCATAAAACCAGAAACATTTGTGGGCTAATTTACAAGGCATAATCTTTTAATAGAATATATGGCATCTGACCATTGTCTCAGTATTTCCCTTTTTAAGATATCTCCCACCCCACGCCCACTGACTTCACTATATACCCCAAACATCCCAATGATAGACCTCATGCCCATTTAACAGTCTCACATTTTTCTAGAGAATAGATTAAAAATATATACTATTGACTTATTGACTTCCAGTGTATTTTTTCTCATGTTTTTCCTACTATTCTTCAAGTTTAAAAAGATCTCCTTCGCAAGCTTAGAGGTCTTTTCTAAACACGCACACACTCACATCCACACTCTCATACACACATACATATTTATATACTGTATATATATATATTTATATTTATATTTATATACTAGAGGAATTTTTAGCTGAGGAGGCAAAGTATAGATGTCATTTGGATGGAATTCATTCAAACAGGAATTAAACTCTTTTTTCCAGTTTCCCTTTTTAAGGGGGATAAAATTTGAGGAATTTCGGGAAGCGCTACAACATCACATGACTACTCGAGAGCAGGAGGCAGGGTAAAAGGAAGAAGAAATAGATAAAAGGCCTGAACTTGTACGAGGCAGAGAGATGGGCGAGCGATATGGCTCTCTGTGGCGTGTGCATTCCAGGGCCCTTCTGACAGCCGAAGAAAAATGTACAAAGTTCAATAGAGAGAGAGAGCAAAAGACCATCAGATAATGGGTAAAGATAGTGGATGAGCTGTTTAAACAGGAACGGAGCTAAAGCAATAGTGCAAGACTACGCAGCAGAGAGGGGACTACAAGGGAGAAACAAACAGATCTATCGGTACACCAGGTGAGATATGGTGCCAGATTTGAAGTTGAGCTGATGGTTGGGGACAAAGCTGTGCTGGGGATTCTTTCGCGTGCACATATCCTTTGCATACAAGCCCATGCATGAGTCACATGACACCTTAGAGCAGTTCACACAGGTATGTGATGCGCCCGGCTTGTTGCAGAACCCGCAACGCGATCCCCCCAAGCTTATTCTCTCACTGCTGCCTCCCTTTGGTGTTGTCAAGGCGACAGATTTGCTTGGAAACAGCTTAGTGGACATGAGGGGTTTCTCCACCATCTGAGGGTGAGGGTGGGGGTGAGAGTGTGAGTGGGTCAGTGTGAGGGGGTGCGGATGGAGATGGGAGTGGGAGTGCGTATTAGAGTAGACAGAGAGCTTTTCCTTGACAGGAATGTATCCATCCAGGGGCCGTGGGGATTTAGGGTGGTAGTCTTGGAGGCCACAGCAAGGGGAGGGGTCCACGTCGTGACAGGAAGAACAGAGGATCATGTCACACCTCTGGCAGGAGGCCATGGAAGAGCATCCCAGACCACAGCCCTGACACTTCACACTACCATGAGCTTTAAGCAACCATGCCTCCCTTGCATCCCGAGGCTCTCTTGATGGAGGTCGAGAGGGGATCTGCCTCCCCCCCATCCCAGTGCCCCTCTCTGTGTACAAGTCGATCTCATCCAGGGACGACAGGTGGTAGGAGGTGTACGCATCAGCCGGAGGAGGCGACTGAATCGGGGAGAAATCCGCAACGGGGCTATAGGAAGGTGGAGCTGCCACAGAGAATAGTGATGCCGAGGTGCAGGGTCTGATGATCTCATCCTTCATATCCTCCTCTGCATCCACAAACAGAGGCTCCTTTCTCAGGCTCAACGAGGCCTTTAACACAGGCTTGCTAACAGCTGGGTGCCAGTGACCGGCCCCATCTGTGACATCCACGGATTTCGACGGCCGGCTACCTCGCCTTAGGTGGTGGGCATGAGGTCTCTCTATATCCAGCGGCCGAACAGTCAGACGCGCCATATCTGCCCCAAGGCTGTCGCGTCTGCGGAGCGCCTCTGCGCAGCCGGCGGCGTCATCTCTGCATCCTCTGCGGAGTTCCAGGGCCTCCATCTCTGAGGCTGAACCTCGGGCCAGAGCCACTACCTCTCCCAGGAGACGGCACTCCGCCTGGGCCAGGAAGAGCTCAAACGCCAACTGACGGAGATGATTTGTGCCACCTGGATGCTCCTGCAAATGAAACTGTGAGTCGTGGTCACAGGCGTAGCCAATCGTGCGCATTAGAGCTCGGAGTTCAGCATCAGTAATGGCAGACTGAAGATGATACACGTAGGGGCCGGTGAAGGTCTGAAACGACAAGAGTTCTCATCAGTGTCAGTGTTTTCAAACAGATAAAATATAAACCCTTGAAAGTATAAAGCCGAACATGTATTTTTTTAAAAAAAAATAGAGTCCAGGATAAATGGTATTTTCTTTAAAGATTGTAGAGTAACTCTTGCATTATTAGAAAATCTGAAAAAGTACAAGTTCTTGTAGAAATTTGACAAAATAAACAAAACAAATGGGTTGACTTTACTTTGCAAAACATGAGCTTAGAGATAATTTAGGCAGTAAATATGCACTCCTGGATACAGTAAAACTGGTGGCCATAAACATGTTAAAACAAACCAACAATAACCCACCTTTATACATCTGAACTCCTTTTTCCAGGGGAAGAGCAAGAGGTTGGTGCAGATAGTTTCCAATGTGCGAAAAGCTCTTTCAAGACTCCTGAGGTTTCCTCCTCTCTGGCAGCGCAGAGAACTCTCCACCACTTCATAGAATCGCACCATCCGGAAGCGTTGTCCGGGATCTGGCTGATAGGCCCCAAGCAGGGCTGTGGCTGTGGAGAGTAAGGCCTCACTGTCCTTGTATCTCCCTCTGTCCCCTTCTGGTGCATTCCCACTCCTTATACATTCCCCTCCACCCTCCAGGCGCTTCTCCAATATCGTCACATACCTCCGAAATAGGTCCTCCTTTAACTTGGCATCCATTGTTGACAGCAGACTATCAGTCAGCTGTTACACTTTTCTGAGAGAGCCTCACCCCTTTTAGCATATCCTGCACCTGGATGCCACATTCAAGCATCATTTTTGGTCACCATAATTAACAGCACAAGCTGGCACACACTCAAAGCTCATAAAGTTTTGGACGAATGAAAGAGGAATTAGACTGTGAGTCCAATTAGCAGCACATCCATGCAAGTGATGCAGTGCTCGTGCTTTCAGTCGGCGTAGCTAGGCTGCAGCCTGCAGGGATGCCTTCTCACAGGCATCTCTGGTACTGGCTCAAAGCCTTGCTTGTTTCAAGACAAGCAGGCCTATGTCGTGCAAGATGAGGTCAGGACGAGCTTCTTCTCCTTCTTCTTCTTCACGCTCTGTTAATGCAGAGTCGTATTTATTCCGTTCCCTGGTTTCAGCATGCGCAGAGTTCAAGGTCACTCATGTTGAAGAAACATGTATGATGGTGTGATTTTTCCACTGTCTTCAGGCTGTAATGACACAGGGGAGCTTTGTAAATATGGATATATCATACACACACACACACAAATTGAAAAGAGTAAAGGATCATTTGCCCATACCTTATCATGAGGTTAGAGAATATAAACATATTTATACATACAGTTATAAAGACAGACTGTAAAGTCACAAGATCTTGAAAAACAGTGCCTGTGCCCTGAGTGGGATGATGTGAGGTTGCACTGTGTGGGCTGATACAAGTCGATGGTATAAATAAAAAGATGGACTGTTGATTATTTTCATAATGTAAGCTACCGGGAAAGAAAGGATCCAGTTTACCAGAGCTGAATTGAAACTGGAAATAGACAAATGCTTATTGTTTCTAGTTCCTGATCGCGCTGGTGAATATGTGAATATGTAAGCATGATACGTGCGTGCAAGACATGATACCCTACATATATCTCACGCAAGCGAAAAATCAGCAATAGATATGTTAACATATTAAGCTACAATATACTCTAAGGACGAGGCAGAAGCAGAAAGATCGTCCAATACAAGCTGGCCGGCTATTTCAGTTCCCTCGCCTCAGTCAGCATCCGTTCAGTGAGCTAGCGAGCAGCATGCCTTAGCTTACAACACCATCATGTTTCAGTGATACCACGGTATACAGTTACGTATCAGTTCACCAGGACCTACGAAGCTAACGAGAAAAAAAGCACCAATGCCGGCTCTATTGTTGATTCTTCGTGAACCTCAAACATGACAACACTCGATGCTGTCACTAGTACGGGCCCCCAACAGAGCAGAAGCTAAGCAGTGAACGCCCATTTCAGCGCAGCTGGCTAGCTAGTGAATGCTTTAGCTAGCAGGGCGGTCTTCCGACAGATAGGAATCTTGCCCGATTTTAGTGTAAATTGCCAGGAGTTATCCCGTCAGTGTGGCATAGCTCTTGTGCGGCTGAGTCTGACTCTGTTTCTTCAAATACATCGAATCAATTTCAACGTTGAAACGCCAAGAACGGAACATCTTACCTTTCACAAGTGCTAGCTGTGACTAGCTACGCCTCCTCAGCTGTTGGAAATGCCCATCATAACAGTGCGCATGCGCTGCAGTCTGACACTTCATCAGCATCAGGGTCCCACGTGCTGTTGGCCAGAGAAGCCTGGGATGCAGATGATGAGAGCGCACCATCTACATCACGATCATAATCTAATACAGGGGTGTCAAACTCAACCACAGCAAGGGCCATAATCTGGATTTAAGTCTAACCTGAGGGCACAACAGGGTCAACATTCAACCCAAACTGTCAGCCTCCTTTTCAAAATATACAACAGAAGCAGCGACAATTATAAACCACTTGGAAATTCAAAAAGCAAAAAAGATAAATTTAAAAGCAATCAGGGATTTAAAAAAATCCAACAGATTAGTTCAAGAGATCAGAACATGATGCTAAAAATAGAGCGAATACACAAGAAGAAAATTTAAATCATAAATTTGAAAAGTCAAAATATGAGATCATTTTGAAATCAAGAGTTTAAAGTCAAAATATGACTTAAAATTTAAAATTGGAATCCAAAGGATTAAAATGACATAAATCTAAATACTGAGTTGAAAAAAAAAACAAATCACAAAATAAAAAGTCAAATCATGTCTTGAGATGCAAAATTGGAAATATGGATAAAGCACAATTTTTCCCCCATATTCTTGACTATTTATCAAATCTTCCTTACTCTTTACTTTCCCATATTTTTATGGTTTATTAAGAATATTTTAAATGATGCTTATTTAGTCCGTCATAAGTTTTATTAGAATTGTGTTCAGACCAAAAAAGATATTTTAAATTAGTTTTATACATCAGTTGTGGTATCTATGAGCTACAACATGAGGTCATAAAAGTCCACCATTTTAGCTTAGAGGACTAATATAGACATCATAGTAGTTCTGGGGTATGTTGCGCCATTTGGCCAGGGGTAGGTTGAGACTGTGGCTCGACTGAGAAAGTAAAGGAGTCTGATGAGAGGATCAGAGTTTCAGTTCAGATTGTTGAAATGTGTTTCTTTTCTTTTCCAAAATACAGCTGTGAATGTTCTGAATCACTTAAAAACGTCCTCATGTTAAAATGACTTTCTACAAAACAGCTTTTAGTAGTTATATGCAATAATAATAAAAAGAATTACTGTACCAGTTGAATAGCATATAACTGAAAAAAATACACATGGATGTGAAGAAGTGACTGTTATTTGGAGAGAGAGAAGGTGAGGGAGGGCTGGGGTGGAGAATAGGGGGGTAGTAGGGATACGGCTCAACTTACCCCATACTCGGGGTAAGTTGACCATAGGAGACCACTTTTTCTTTTGGAAGTTATATTATCAAGACAGTTATGTTTACACTCATTTTGTTGGTTTGCAGGGATGCTCAACATCTTGAAATATATGCAGATACACTAGTTAGAGACAAAACTATCATTGCCTTGATGTAGTGATCCGAAATATGAAAAATGGCTCATCTTACCCCACTCTCCCCTACTAGAGTATAAGCAGAATACAGTCACTTTTGTTTTTCTCGCCCAAAAATATTTGTCAACTTAAAATGGTGCAAGTATCGTTATGATTTAACTTATTTGGTTGTCCACTGTTGAAATAATACACTTTGAAACGTTATACAATCATCCGGCTCTGGTTAACAGGGACGATGAACGCCAAACTCCGCCTTCGAGCGTAAACGAAGAAGAAGAAGTCGATGACGTCGTGATGGGAACGGTTGTTGGGGGGGCTGACTCAGTGAAGAAAAGAAATGGCGATGCTCGGTGGATTTAGCACAGCACAGCACAAGAAAAACGTCTCCGACGGGAGCAGCGACGTGTCAGAGTTCGTCTGTCCAGTGTGTCTGGAAATATTTGACAGTCCTGTAACAACACAATGCGGACATACGTGAGTATTAAGCTTTGTTATTTCGATCGCCCCCCTTCCCACGTCTACGACTAATGGTTCAATGTTACGAGGAAGAATAAACAGACAGAAATCCACGTTTTAAGGTTGTCGTGCCCCCAAAGTCGCTGAACAAACACTATGCGTTTGCCTACTTTAAACTTGATACTGAAATTCTATTTTTATTCACTTGAATGTTTGGCAAAGGCAATTTCAGCTTGCTAAATCAGTTTCAGTTTTGTTTACATCAAAGTGGAGGCCTCACACGGGAGTTGTAGTTTTCAAGTGCACCACAATGACTTTGCGTACTGGCTCATAAGACTACAACTCCCTGCGCCCCCTTCAGGTAGGGACTTTCTACCGGATTTAGGAGGTCTAGTACAGAAGCTGTGCGGGGATTTTCCAAAAGATAACACTTGTTCCTTTCAGTTTTGCTTTTTTATTAGTCTGTAAATAAACAACAGAAACACGAGTTTAAAGTTTTTTGTCATTCCTGACGCGTAAATTCGATAAATGTAGTTTCACCATCTTCACTAGTTTCTCAACACATCTTTTGTCAGGTTCTGCCAGAGTTGTTTGCAGGAGTGTTTGCGTCCACAGAAGCCTGTTTGTGCGGTATGTCGGGCAGGACTGGGTCAGTGGACTAAAGCTGCAGAGCTAGAGGCTGTCATTCAATCATCTGTGGCATCTTGCAAGGGATGTGGGGTTCAGGTCTGTATTACTACTGGGTTCAACCCACCATACTTAGTGAAGATGCACAACTTTTAAGTGATACTGAAGCTATACTTAAATGTCTTTTTTAATGCACCTGATGTTAGTTACTGATGTGTGGTTTTTTTTACCTATTAAGATCGGCCTTTCTCAGATGAGAGGTCACACAGCTGCCTGTACTAAATATCAGGAGTACATTGAGGAGGGAGTGAGGACCACTGCTCAGAACCAGCCTGCCATCATCAGGTAAAGTTGAGAGTAATCAAAAAAGCTATTTTTTTCTTTTATTCACAAATACACTACTCAGTGCTTAGAAAGGACAAGGGTTTTTGATGTAATATGTGGCATCACTGACCAGTTAAGTGTTGCAAAATCTAAAGGAACCTAATGTATTAATTTTTGCCTTTTTTCATGTCAGTCTGAGACACCAAGAGAGAAGCTCTGCATGATGTATTTTCTACTGGTGTCCATGAAAACTCTCATTTCAGCTTAATTTCATTTTTGCTTCTCTTCCCGCGATAAACAGTTAGACACACCTTGTTGGTGTAACTTTCCACATATTTGTGTGTTGTCAGGAACTGGTTTTAGATGTGTTCTAATCAGTCATCTGTTTTTTTAACATTAGATCAGGATTACAATGATGTGACACATATGTTCTTGAAAGTCGAGAAATAAAACATATAATGAATAATCATAAACTAATCTGCGTTCAATCAGAGATCAGTTAAAGGAAATAAAATACATATTTTGGCTTTAAAATGGAGATTAAGCCAACATCAATGTCTGTCATGTTTTAAATTCTGCAGTGGTTTGGTAAAGACATCCAACATTTTAACACTTCATTCATGCATTAAAATTTAGACCAGCACAACAGGTCTTTCTTAACAGGCATATCAAACTGCCATATTGCAAAACACAGTTTTTAAACCCCACAAAACTGCTATTATTAAAATTATTTCAACTAAAATCTCACATTGCAGTCTTCTTATTTTTGCTGTCTGTTTCTGCTCATCACACACAGCCCCGTGCCAAACCGCTACACCTTCACCTGCCCGTACTGCAACTGCCAGAACCTTGATCAGGATGGCTTGGTTGAACATTGCACCTCCCAACATGCTCGAGATCCACGCCAAGTGGTAAAAAAAATAAATAATCTGCACTTCGCTCTGACTCAGAAGAATATCTGTCGAAAACTACTGTAGGATTTAGCTTTGGTTTATTAGTTTAAAGGTATTTATTCCTGTTCAGGTATGCCCAATCTGTGCCTCAATGCCTTGGGGGGACCCTAACTACAGGAGCGCTGACTTTTTCCAGCACCTGAAGATCAGACACACCTTCTCCTATGACACATTTGTTGTAAGTTGAAGCCTGGTGTAATTGGAGTGTTCTCTTTGTGATGGTCATGGCTAGCTTGTTTAATCGATCTGCTTTCTTACCTCTAAACACCCATGTCTTTACAGGATTACTCCACAGATGAAAACACTATGATTCAGGAGGCTCTACAGCGCTCCCTATTGGACAACTGATGTGGGGAAAACAATCTAACAGGAGAAATCCAGTAAAGTTAAGAGGAGATTTGGTGACGGGAAGACAGAACAACGCAGTGTGTCATTCACCCACTGAGAGGATGGTGATACTCAAATATTATGGGTGATCAGTTTCACAGGGAGCCGGTCTTATTATTACCATGAATCGAAAAGCTTATACTCAAAAATTAATCATGCAATATGTTTACAAAACACATTGTACTGTCTGATTAAAGAGTAATACACTGTTTCTGGTGTAAAAATCTTGGATAATCTCCCCTCTAAGTTGAGTCTGTAGGCTTTTAGTTCGAGTACCTATTAGACTTTGTTAGTAAAAGCAGCGTTTCCATTGATGACTTGGTGTCATAAACCCAAAAAAGATTCAAAGTTGTGGAAAAATAACTTCCCCTGATGTCGATACTTGATATTATGAAAGGGTTTGACCACTAGGTGGCTGACTGTCACCAGTAAACTACAAAATTCACTTGTCAAGTGATATCAACAATAATATATAATAATCAAGTCCAGAGTGACTCTGCATGTTTCACTCTCAAAACAGAGAGAGAGTTTTAGTTAAGAAAATGGAATCTCCCTTTTTTATGCTCTTTTATTTCTTGTTTGTGTGAGAGGGTGTGTGATCAATCTGTTTTAAAAGATCTACTGGAAAGAATAAATCATACGAGGGTCAAACAAAGCCGGATAAGGCTGTTTGCTTTGTTTTAATGTTTATCCCTTATGTCTTTGTGCCTGCTGGTAGATCTTGTTTTTGACTTCCAAATTTCATAGGGCTAATAGTCAATATACTGAACCAAATGATACAGGTAGGGTTTCATCATTGTGTCATTATCGGTCACTTTTCTGCGTTTTCTTTCAGAAGGGAATATGTGCATGTTCTATTATGTCCTTAGGGGGGCAGTAGAGTTCCATCACTCTCAGGCCGTCGACTCTCACCGGCTCTACTCAAGACATACTTCAGCACAGATCTCATCTTATAAATGTGTTTTAATCAGTGTGTTCTCCAGTTTATTTTATACATGTATTCTTCTCAAACGCAGCCTAAGAGATGACACTGAGCTTTGGAATCAGGTTTTCTGGGGGGGTTGTTTTTTACGATAAGAAGGAAATGATTGCAACCTTACTGATAGGGACTTGGCGTGGATTTGATTCCAAATGTACTGTACTGTCTTGTGTTATTCATGCCCAGTGTGTGTTTGTTGCTTCATCACAGGATTACTTAAGTTTGCAGGCTTTCTGGCTTTTTATATTTATTAAGATCACTGCCAACAGTTCTGAAAAATAAAGACTTTCATGGTTGTTATTTGTTTGTCTCCCCATCTAAAGGCTTATAAATTAACAAGAGGTTTAGTTTGACTTATGCTGGATTTTTTTTTAAATGTCTCTGAAGTTGAACTTTGACTTTTTTTTTATACCAGCCTTCTTTGCAATAATTGGCATTTCACAAATACACCACTTAGTCTTCATACAGTTTCATAACATCTGTCCTTTGCCAACAGGTACATAAAACTTCACACACCCAGTTTAAGTAGCTTTAGAGCAGAATCACATGCCTTTGCAGGGGTAGTCTTTGGTGCCATTTAGCCCAAGGTTTGTGTTTTCCTCTTCCTCTCTGTAAAAATGTGTAATAACTCTGTATGTGTACAACATGTACAATGACCTTTTTTTCCTTTCTCAATATATCTTTCATTCTCTTTGTCAGCCCTGCTGTTAGGAGGTGCTAAATCCTGATAAATTAAAGCTCTTTAATTATTTAAACCCTGGCCCCAGAAATCAGGCGCAGTGATTTATACCTGTGTGTATGAGATGTGTTGGGGGGGAGAAACAACAATTGCTGCTTTGATGGATGACCTCAGAGAGAGAGAGAGAGTGTGTGTGTATGAAAGAGAAAGAGAAAGAAAGCAGTTAAAGGAAGGTAATGTGCATGTTGCATCAATTGTCTTGGGTTTGTTCAGTTGTCACAATTAGGCAAGAGGTACAAAGGTGTGAGGGGGCAAAAAGATCTAATTGTGGAATATATTAAATGTGTTTTTGCGTGTACTGGAGTTACATTTATGATGAAACTAAGGCCTTTGGTGTACATTGTCCACAGGGAGAGAGACCCTCTATTCTTTCCTTTGTGGGCCTTATGTATCTGTAATTACTAATCTAAATGATATAACATTTCTCACCTACCTCTGTGGATAATCTCACCCACCGAACTTCTTGATGTAGTCCCCCTTTTCTTCTTTTCTTCTTTTATTCCCCCCCTTATCTTTTTTTATTGCTCCTGGCAGACAGAGTGGAGATGTTCATTGTGAGAGACTAACGAGATACTCGAGTGCTTCTGGGCAGGAAGGAAGTCGAGCCGAAAAACATGGCAGGGAGAAGTCTTTCTTGTCTGTTTGGTGGCAGAGCTTAAAAAAAAAGGGAGGGGAGGGGGGCAAGGTGGGGAATAGGAAAAGGAAGAAAGAGAGGGAAAAGGGAAGAGAAGTGAAAACACTGAATAAAAATTTCATAAAGTTCAGCGAGTGGTTTCTTTGATGCGAGCGATAGATATTGTGTGCAGTCTGCAGGCTCTGTGGAGGCAGCAATTAATGCTACAAGTGCCCACAGGCACACTGGGAGAGGTGTGGGGACGGCGGCTTGTTTTAGAAGTGTGTCGCACCAACATCACTCTACCCCAGACACCCCTCCACAAGCCTTTTGTTTTCTTACAATGCACTGTAAACCTCTCTGAGCTTCTTTAAGGCCTTTTAAAATAAAGAATACCTTTAAGCGTTTATTCCCAATAGCTGTTGACTTTTAGTATCACCTAAATAATGTTACAGTCAAAGGTGAAGGTACCATTCACACTCCATTCAATATTTTTGTTATATTGTCAAGGTTTATCAAGTCATATTTCAGGGCCTGTCATAAGAAGATGGAAGACTTTCATCTGTCTTTCTGTCTCTTGCAGTTTTTGGCAGCTATTTGTCAAATACTTCTCTCAACACAAGGCTCAAATCAATCTTTTATTATTTCTCAAAGAAGAGCTACTTTAGGAGACAAAACGAGTTATCTCCTGAAACAATAAAGTTACCAGAAAACTAAACTTATTCTTTTCATGTTTAAAAAAATCAAGAATTGATTGATCCAAACCTAGTCAACAGCAGCATGAAAAAATTCTTTCCAAAAGGTAAAAACCTCAAGGAGAACTGGACACAGGAGTTTGTAGCCATCTGGTTTTACTGGATAAGCTTAAATGTGGGATGAAAAAGAAAAAGAGAAATGGGACAGAGCCTGGATTTTCCAACCGGGATTTCAAAGTTTTGAAAGCTCAGTTTCTCTTAAATTGATCTCTTTTTTCTTTATGGAATTTGGCCCCTTGTGCTTTTTCTTTACCTGTTATATCATCACACCAAAGAAAATCAAAGCACTACACATAGCGACAAAAATGTTTTTGTATAACCTCTTCCTACCAAGCATTTTTTGGTCTAAAAGACGTTTAATAGACATCCAATGGTCCTTAGACGTCTGGACTAAAATCGGTCTACCACTGGTCTAAAAATGAATTTTTTTTAGCCTTCTAAGTTTAGACTCGCCGTCAAATAGACTAAACTACACTGTACATTGACCAATGACTGTTAAAAATGTTTTAATCCAACATTTGGCCATCATTTATACAACTTACAGTTGTTTTTTTATTTGATATTTAGTAATTAATAGATTAAATTCTTTCGAGCTAAAATATAGACTGATTACAGACAGGTGAATTTCTGTCTAAACTAAGAGGAGACGTCAAAGACTCAGTGGGTTTGATCCATTACTATGCCATTTTTAGGTCCATCCCGACATGCATGGTGTGTTTGTTAGGCCAAGTATACTCAGTCTCCTTTATAATAATCATGCGCCCCTCATGATGAAAGTTTAACAGGTAATGATAGAGTATAAGAGCAGTTTACTTCTCGGTTTAGGCTATTTCCCACCAGTTACATCTTAATGTCAGGTCAGAGAGGAAAGGGTGGTGTATATTAAAGTCAGATGAGCTGGCATATTGTGTCCATCACAATATGTAACTGAAAAAGAAAGAGTGTACCTGTGATATTGAAAGCTAGTTACGTGGTACACAGAGAAGGTGATGACAAATAGCAACCTCTCAAATGCCTGGAAAGTTCTGTTTCTGTGGTTTTGCTGAGGCAGGTATCTGCGATGAGGTGTGGGGCGAGTGAGAAGAGCACTGGGAGTTTGTTCACCGTAAAATTCCTCAAAGTCAGGAGAAACAGGAAGAGCGGGAATCCTGCCACCCGGGTCGGTCCTCTCGAATGTTTGAACAGAAAGTGCCAGTGGGCTTCCCCGACATCAATACTGGTTCTACACCAACTCCTCTTCCGCTTTTAAACTCTTAACAACCGACCCCCTACCACAGCCAGACACACACACACACTTACACACACACCTCTTGCGCTGCTCGCCTCAGAGAAACAAGACTTAACTTTGATTTAGTAATGCCTGCAACCAGCTTGGCCCTGTATCAGCTAATGTGAAACTTGTGTATGTGTGCATCTATTTTTGTGCCCTCGAAAACCAAACTCCTGCCGACATCATGACAGAGACACCGCACGGCCTACAAACTCTATCTTCCCTCTAATAGCATGAAGTCTACATTTCACAGTAATCTGAAAAAAAAGCAGAATCATTATTTATTGTGCAAATTCAAGGAAGAGACTTTAAATTCATGCCAAAGCTGTGATAACAGGGGTTAGACGAACTCATGGCACAAGTCTAAAAGCTTGAAAAGTTCTCAGAATCCCTGTTGCTGCAGAAATATTCTCCTGGAAGTGAAAATGAATATGAAACACATCGATTTAACTATCAGGAGAATTGCTAATCATTGCTCCCTCATTTGTTTATTATTTATTTATTGGAAATCCACTCAGCTGCTGTACTAATATTTGAAAGTTGAGCCCTCTAAGGTATAAACCAAGGAGGAGGGTGAGGTCTCAAACGTATGAGTATATGTGTGTGTATGCTTATGCACTGTGTCACAATGGAACAGTAGGCCAATTGAGGCGAGTTGATCTAAATTTTACTTCCCCCTCTTCGTACCCTGTAGACCAGCTGAGACGTGTGTGTGGAAGAGAGCAAAGCCCCGGGCTATTATTCTCCCATTAATTTTTCCATTTGAAATCAACCCTCAGCGGGCGTGCATGAGGGAATCAGAGGAGGGAGGGAGGGATGACTGGAGTGGGGATAACCTCATCTCAGTGGGAGGGGGGCAAATGTTGGTTGTAGCAGCGTGGATGTCCAATAGGGGAGGCAATTTCACTTTCAAAGGACTCCACATTATTTCTCGACCTCATCTGTTTCTTTACGTTTTCAACAAGGGGTGAGAGAAAAGTTAGGAGAACTTAAAGAGCAAACGCCTGACAGGGGCCTAAAATATGCAACAAAGCACTTTGCAAAAATTACAAAACTGACACCAGACCAGACTTATTGGTAGACTGCCATCTGCCCTGACTAATTGTGTTGACTTGGATGGATGGAGATAGAAAAACAGAAGGAGACTGACAAAAAAAGAGAAAGAGTTAGAGGAGCTCTGCCGATAACAACGGCAGTAGAAATAAAACAGATTTTATGGTTGTCTCATGAGAAATTTAGGAACACCCAGGACATCATACATTATCACACTCCTGAAGACACACCGAATTAAGAAAACCTCTCTAAACTTTCTCCCTCCACCTAACCTATCATTACAAACACCCACCCACCTCCTCCACCACCTCACATTTCCTCTCTAAGTCTCCCTCAATTTCCAATCACCTCTCTCCCCCCCCCCTCCGTCTTTCTTTGAAAAAGCGCCAATGCTTGCTAATCTGTCAATCACATGTTGTCCTGTTGTGGCGATGATGGGGGTCCGTGACAGCGGGGCCATACACCTCTAGCAGCTCGCAGCTCGATGATTAACCAGGCAGGTAGTGAGTCAAAGTGCTGACAGCAGAAACACACTGACAGCTGATTTGGAAGACAATAGTCCCGCTCCCTCTACTTAACTTGTCACGGCAGTCAAAGCACCTTTTCCATTACTTTCTGACACATCGAGAAAGATTGAGGGAAACACACATTTACTGGATTGCACACGTAGAAATGTGAATATGTCCATGTTGGCATTAGTGTGCATGATCAATTTTGGAAAGTCGTTTTGAGAAAAGCTCAAATCAGCTACGGAAAGAAAGAAAGAAAGAAAGTTGGATACATATGGTATCAGTGCTTGAATAGAGGACTTGAGAGAAGTAACAGTCGAGCTTTATCAAACCACCCTATGTTGATATCATGATCATAAAACGACTATAAATGGCTCATGAGAAGGGTAATGATAACTTTCTAACTGTATAACTAGAATTTAATGCTACATAGTCTGGTTTCCAAGCCAACATCCCCTCTAATCACAGATTAATAGTCCAACACTTCCCAATTATTAACCACCCCTGCAGTAAAGCATTCATATTCAAAACTTTTTACCTCCCTCTACTTCCTGTGCTTTGTTTCTTGTGTCTTTACAGGAGGGAATGGAGGACACAGGCAGATCTGTCAATCAAAAAAAAAAAAAAAGCAGCCCCCCTACCACTGCGGCTCATTGACAGGCGTCCATACACCTCCACTAACTCTGGTTCCTCCTCGGCTCAATGAGTAACCAACCTGCAGGTACTGAATCAAACTGCTGACAAGCATGTGAAGGGGAGTAGAGGGGTGGGGAGAGAGCGGGGATGGAGTTCTGTGTAGGTGGACAGATAGTAAGATATAAAGAAAAGGGGAGGATGGAGATGACAAAAGCATCATTTTATAGCCCACCTTGGTGACGTAACCTTTAACTCTGCAAAGAAAGATGGGTCTCTCCCCTGTCTGTCCAGCTTTCCTTTTTTCCCTCTTCTTCCTCCTTCACGCTCTCTAAGTGGCACGCTTTGATGGGCTGTCCCTCTCCTTCACCTCGTCTTCTTAGACAGATGAGTCCTGTCAGCACTGCCATCACTGCCCAGCTAAACATTAATGACTCTCTTGCCTGACAAGTGTTTGTGGGGCAGAGGCGAGGTGAAAGTGGGACGCCTCTGGACAAAACTGGCGGATGAAAAGGAGAAGTAATGGCTTTATCTGCCTGACAGATTCCCTTTTGTCTCTGTGAACTTGCGTATATGCATGTGTGCCATCAGCAGATTCTTGGGCTCGACTTGATGGTTTTATCGCCCTGTTTTTCCTCCCCTTAGAGGAGATGGACCCCTTTGTATTCCCAATGCCCCTCATCCTTCCTGCTGGCATTTCTGGCATTCCTTTGAGTTTCTGTGCATGAGCAGATGTATATCTGAGTGTCTGTGTGTGTAAACTTTAAGACGTACTTGGTCCAGGTGGATTCCCTTCTTCTTGAAAAGAGCATCCTGGACTTTGATGTTGGCAAAAGTGGTATTGGTGACGGTGGGTCCGTGCAGGAAGAGTCATCCTAGAGGGGTGAAGGGAGAGTGAGAAGGGAGGAGGATGGAGAGGCCAAATGAGTCA